ATAATTATAATATTTAATGATTTTGTTGTACTATAATTTTATTCATTATTCATTCAATATTAAAAATAATTGTTTTTGTGCACCAAACACATTTTCATGAATTATTTGATTTTTTTGTTGTTTCTTTTACAGTTACTACTTTTATTTATTTATTTTTTTTTATTATTGATGTATCCTTTTTATATCCTTGCATGCCATAATAACACGAGTTTTTCTCTTTGTTTCGCAGTTTTCGTGTGAGTTTTCATCGCGTAGACTTTCTTAAAATGTAGTCTGATTTTCTTTTTAGCATTTAGCTTTTGGCTATAGCGCGCACCTTTGTTAACCGTTTGCTGCTCGCATCTGAAATGAAAATATCCGAAAATGTTTCAATTCTTTCGGTTTTAGTTGGAGATTTTCTATTTTTCGAATGTCCATCTCTTGACAATTTTTGCTGTGTGCCATTCGATGTTGTTGTTGCTGTTGTTGTTGTTGCTGTTGTTGTCGCCGTTGCCATTTGTTTTGTTGATTTGATTTCTCGCTCGCCGTCGTCGTCGTCGTCGCCTTCGTCGTATTTTCTGGCTGTCTTTGCTTCTGCTCCTCTAACGATCTCAATCTCATCAACAGCATCGTTGTCGGTTCCATGTTCTAATTAATGAGCACGCAGCCAGCAGCCAGCAGCCAGGGAGCAGCAGCTCGACGAAGCCAGCTGAAGAGAAATTGCTGCAGTTTTGTACTCACAAATTTGTTGTTTAATTAATTGGCTGCTACAAAATTTAGTTAATCAAAACATTTGTTAATTCATAATACACATTAATGAGCATCAGCTCGTAGTCCATCTGCTACCCGAGACACAATTGACATGCCCACCAAAATACACTCAAACACACACACACACACTCACACTCTTACGAATTTCTCGCAATTCGTGTGCATTATTAATTTGCAATAAAAATGTGGAAGCAGCCGCCAAGAAAAAAAAAAGAAATTAGGAAAAAAACAAAAATTATTACAAAAATAAATTTTGGTACCTGCTGTTGAGATTTGAATTATGTTGACAACGGCTGACAAATACAAATGGAAGCGCATTGGAGCGCTCAGCGCCGCTGGGCCAAATCCCCTTCACAGACTGCACTTATTCAATTCATTTGAATGCCAGAAATACTTATTTATTATTGTCATCTCGCACAGTTGCCTTGTAAATCTGGGTTAGCTCAATACTATTCTTAAGTCTATGGATCCTAGGTGCTCTATAAGCTGAAGCATCGCGCCTCCGGCAGGGGCCTGCACTGCTGCTGCGCATAATCCCAGCCGTATTTGTAGGGACATCGCACTATGGTCAGGTAGCCAGCGATGCAGCTATAGTAGTACTCGCAGCGCTCTGGATGCGGATGGTAGCCATCGCCCGTGGAGTCGCAGTGCGGCCTATTGCCCGCTGGCTTCGTCTGCTGCTCCGAGTCTGGATCAGTGGGCGCATCGGTTGCTGCATCAATCTGCACTCCGTCGGAGTTGTCACTAGTTGTCGCATCTACAGCTTCTGCTGCCGCTGCTGCTGCAACTGTTGTCGCCTCCTGTGCCTTCAAGCAAATGCCCGTATCGTCAAAGGCGCACTCCTGCGCCTGGGCATCGAAGTACGTTTGCTCTGGGCAGCTGTCCCTGAAGGAGTCCTCGCCGTTGCAGTAGATGTAGCTAGTGCAGTCCTCGATGACCATAACAAATGTATCCGCGTCCACGTTGTTGCATTGCTGAAATACTTCCGCAGCACAAGGACGTAGTCCTCCAGTCAGGACAAGCACGCAGAGCACCTCAAAGACTTTTGCTTGTTGCTCACTCATATTTGATTTCAGCTTGAGCGGCTCTTTGCTGATTTCGGTTTGCTATAAATTTGAAAATTCTCTTGCCTTTATATACCGATTTTCAAGGTCATGAATCACATATCAACATTGTTATCAAGAAAACGTGTACGGTTTTTGTTCTTTTGCCAAAACTTATCTATTTAACATGATTCTTTTTAGGGTAAGAGTGTGTCAAGGTTGCAGCAAAAACGTCTATTAAGTCTAGGTCTAAGAGAATTGCATATTTAATAAATATTTAAAAGAGCTTTAAAATGTATGTTCACATAATTATATATCGCATGATATTTTGCACAAATAATGAACATTATATTCTCAGCTTTAAAATCTTTACTGTTAAACTAATTAGTTAATTTGTATTCGTACTGGGCTTAAACCTGCAGCATCGGTCGCTGCTCCTTGGCTTGCAGATTGTCGTTGGTAAATGAATAACCCGTTCCGCCCTGAAAGTATATATATAAATTTTTATTTATAAATTTAACTTTGTTTAAGCTCTATTTTAATTAGAGAGAGCAATTAAGAATGCTCTAGTCGGATATGTCCGATTAAACAAATGTCAGAAGCTGCTGTAGCAAACACTACAAAATGCGCATTGATGAATAATTTCGTATTGTTTATTGCATTTTACAATATCCAGAAGTCTATCTGAATCAAGGTAAACTTTATAAATCCGCTTTCTGGCATTTAAGGTTTTCTACAATTGTGTCTACAATTCATCAATTGAACTGTCTACATTGAAAATGTCTAAGGAATGGAATCGTCAGAAATCCAGCAGACTATGCACAGGGTATAGTCCTTAAGAGAACTATAGAATAGAAAACAGAGCTGCTGTCTATGCAATTTAATAATTAAAAATATTAATGTACATAAGCTATTTAGCATATCAACATTTAAGCTTATCAAGCATATATATTCTTCTGTCTATCTACTCATAGCTGTTTCTCAGACGAAGAAAAAGAAGAGACGAAGAGCTATAGAAGATCATTTAAGTTCTCTATAAGTATGCAGCAGTACTCATTTGGTATACATATTTGAGTGAAGCGAAGTTAGAATGCAGAGAGCAGCAAGCAGAGAGTGCTCCCATTGGTCGTTTAAAGCCCGACTGCACGAAGCCTACCTGTCGAAGGGCTCAGCATTCGAGAGCGACTCAGTGTTTGAGTGAGAGTCGCCCTATATATAGGGCAGCAGCTGCAGCATTTCTTTAGTGCAGTGCAGTAAGGTCAAGTAAAGTGAAAGGTGTGATCGTTCAGCTAAGCATTTAAGACTTGAAGAAATTTTTTGAGGAAAAACTTAGTGGAAATATAAAAACTATGTAGCATATATAATTTTATAAATGATTTGCAATAACGGACGGCTGCTAACTCGTCTCAGTTCATCGCCCTGATTAAGAATATACATATATACTGCCACACCTTTTACATTTTCAATGTAAACAAAAGAATTCCCATAAGGTAATAAATTCCCAATTGATTTACTTACACGTTGCAGTGGAATAATGTCCTTTTCCTTAAGCTTGCGGTCGGTGAGGGGATGAATCATGTCTTTGCGTATGAGCTTCTCGACGCATTCCATCGTAACCACATCGCCACTGCAAATCCATATGAAATCTACATATATTTCTATGCCAATTTTAGATTCAATTCAACTCACGTGGGACGCAGCACGGCACAGGGCACCGCATTGCTGAGGACATCGTGTGTGATGGGGCACATGTAGCGCGCCTCCTTGGCAATGAGCGAACGTTTGTTGTCCCCATCCTTGAGCAGTGTGAATTTGACATCGATTAGGTCCTTGACTTTAAGTGGTTTCTGTGAGACGGGGCAATAGATGGTAGGATCGGGTGCCTGCGCTTTGGCAACGCCTGCATTAGGGCACTCGGAGGGCAGCCAGAAGCTGGGCAGCTTAGTTTCGTGTCCGTTGGTCATGTTGGAAATGGAGCTGGCTGAGCTGGCACTGGCTGCTGACGATGTGCTGGGCTTATCATCCAACTTTGTGGACTTGAACAATGTTGTGTTCGGCTTGTGTGCGGGAGTTGTGGTTGGCTTCTCGGCATTCACGAATTTCTCCATGCGAGCTAGTTGCTTTTGATTGGCTTCCTGGGTCACTTCGTTTTCTTCGATGCGACGCAGACGCTCGTACTCTTTCAGCTTGCGGCTGTACTCGTTCTTCTTGGTGATAATGTACTGCAGAATGGCCTCCTTGTCGAAGAGGTAGCCGTCTTTGGTGACCACAGGATTTCTGCACGGCTGCAGAGTCAACGAGCAGCAGTCGAAAGATTTCACTGAATCTTTGCCAAGGCGCTTGGCATTTGTGCCATATCCGGATTCGGCAGCATCGCGTTTCTTCTCATTATACGTGTAAACAGCTCCGGCGGTGCAATTACGTGCGTGACGAGTCATATTCGACGATTTTTACAAATAAATATGTAAATAAACAAATGCCAGTCGACTACAAATGTGATTTGCGATATCTATCAATATTGTGGCAGCACTGAACTATCGATAGCTGTATCGTAAAAGAGGCTGCCGCTCCGACAGTGTTACCACACGCGCAAGATAAAAATGCCGTGCGACTTATTATCGATAGCAACAGAACAAAAGCCGTTAAATATGAATATTTAAAATCCAAATTGTATTTTGTAATTAATTCGTTCTTTATTTATCTGTATTATATTGCGTTTTGACATTATTTATTTACGTCGCATATGAGTAGTTGTTACTTAAATGACTACCGACTAATAATACTGTTGTAGCTGCTTGATGTGTATTTAGTTGAATATTTCACATATTCACAGATTACTATATTATATGGCAACTAGTTTCTATATAATCTGGTTTATCTATTTCGCTTTGCTTTGTCTCTAATGGATTATTTCGTATGATTTTCTTTTGAGCATATCACAGAACAAAAATGATACATAGTTAGTAGAGAGTCTGGAGATTTCTTGGGGTTCGAGGGTGTGTGTGTGGGTGTGAGGGTGTTTTGGATTAGAAAGTTCAAAGTGTAAAAATATTAATTGGAGCTTAAAAATATATTTTACTTCATATTTATATATGTATAGATATATGTGTATGTATATATATGTATGTGTATATATGTATATCTAGTTGCAAATGTCATTTTTGCCGTGTATATGTATATATAAATTTGTTCTTGATATCGTTATCATTAGAAAAATATTGAGCAAAAGTATTTGGTATGTTGGATTGGGTTTATAGTTGGCTCTTAACTGAAATTGACGCTCAATTCCTAACGAAAACCAAAGCGCTATCCCCAACAAGCCGAAATCTAGACTAAACGAGTATCTTATCATAGGACGGCGGCGGTGACTCATCCAGTGGCACCTGTTTGCCCAGCGCCGTCGGCGTCTGTTCCGGCAACAATATTGCTATATGATATGGCGGTGGCCCGGACGCTGCTGCTGCCGCCGTTTCCGGACTTACCTCCACCTGTCGCTCATCCAGATATCTGACATCATTCAGCTCCAGCATGCAGCTGGTGGCGTTGCCGCCACGGCTGTGGCACACGGCGCGTGCATCGCTGCGGCTGTTGCTGCCGCCGCGGCCGCCGCTGCTGCTGCTGGGTAGCAGGCCCTTGGGTATGCGGCACAGCGACACCATGCAGGCGGCCAGAAAGAAAGTGGCCGAGAATGCGCAAAATATAAGCACCTCCAGGCCAGTGCCCTGGTGATCAAAGTAGAACTTTGCCCCGGCCACGAACACCGAGGCCAGCACCAGCGAGGCGCACATGCCGCACTTCAGATGACTGGGCAGCAGCTGCGAATCGGCATGTTGCAGCAGTGCGTGATGCTGCTGCTGCAGCTGGTTGCTCTGGACCCCCGTCTGGGTTTGCGTGGGCGGTATGGGCGTGGCTGTAGCCGGGACCGAGGCTGTTGTTGTTGCTGCTGCTGCTGCTGTGACAGTGGCATGGCGCATATTGCTGCTGGAATTGTGACGACGCGGTGTTACATATCGACTGTTGTTGGTGTTGTTGCAGCTGTTGCTGTTGCTGCTGCTGCTGTGGTGATGATGGTAGGCGCTGTAGGCATCGTCCCTGATGTATCAAGTATTTAAGAGCAAGGTAAATAATTAATTAATTTAGCATCAATCAAAATTACTTACGCGTAGACGCCTGCATGTTGCTGATGCTGGTGATGTTGCTGTTGCTGTTGCTGCTGCTGATGCTGGTGTTGGTGTTGGTGCTGTTGGTCATATTGCCTTACGGGCACCGCCATGTTGCCAAACTGAGGATGATGATAGCTGTAGCTATAGTGATGCTGCTGCTGCTGCTGGTGTTGCTGTTGTAGCTGGTGTTGGTGCTGCAGCTGCTGCAACTGTTGCTGATGATGATGCTGTGGTCTYGGCTGATAGCGCGTGCTGCTGTGCTGATGATAATGCGAGCCATGCGCCACCAGCGGCACAATCGTCCCGCTGCCCGTTAGCACAGCCGCCGATGAGGCGGTGCCGCTCGGATTGTTGTTGTTGCTGGCAGTGGTTGTTGTTGCCATGCCAACATTGCTGTTGTTATTGTTGCTGCTGTGGTGCAGCAGCTGCTGATGCTGCTGTTGGACACTGGCATGTGCATTATTGTTGCTGCTCGCATAATGCGCGGACTGGCGGCTGGTGCCCGCGCCCGACGACTGGCAGTCGCCTCCGTAGGGCGCCGGGCCGCGGTGCACCGAGGCCAGCGCCTGATTGTGGCTGCCACTGCTGCCGCTGCTGCCAGCCACGTTGTTGACACTGTTGCTGCTGGACTTGCTGCGTCGCGGCGGATGGCCGTAGCTGAGGCCGCCGCCCGCATGCGACAGCGAAGCCGCGACACGTGAGCGCCCAAAGCCGCATTGCTGCGAGCGTTTATCAATCCAGAAATGCATCTCGCTGCGAGCACTCGACGACTGCTGCAAGTAGAAACTTATGTTAGCAGATTGACGCGAAACTTATTTCAAGTTAATGCTGGGAGTTTGGTTTGGGACGGTCGCCTCTTAAGCCCAGACAAAGCGCATGACTCATTTGGCTTTGTGTCTCCTCGCCTAGACTGAAGAAGGAATTTCTCTTACGCACAGAGACGCACACACACTCACACACACACATGTCGACACGCATACATGCATAGATGTATAGCTAAACAGGAAACGTGCCCAATGCTTTTTATTATGCTGCACTCCAAGTCTGTCTGCTGTTTCCTCTTTGTGCGAGATTTCAAGTTCAACTACCCCACAAAAAAGGCAGCAGCAGCCCCAAACGTTTTCCCCATCAGAGCAACTGCATAGGTAAGCGCTGAACAAAGGTTGCTGCCTGATCAAATAACCCCCAAATGGTAATAGCAACAAGAACAACAAGTACAAGTACAACAACGGCAACAGCAACATTTTGGGAGTCCTTTCACTTCCCGTGTCATTGACAGCAGAAGAAGAGCTGGCAAACTCAAAAAACTTAACACAAAAGCTTAGCGCGCCAAAAATGAACAAAGTAAGTGCCGGGGGCCATGGATGGCAGCCACAAAAAGTGTTAAAGAGACAGAGACAGAGACAAAGACAGAGGGAATAGTCGCACAGTGGACTTTGATTAAAGTGCTAGATTATTCTATTCGCAATCTAAAATGATAAGTTATAAATAAATATATAGTTTCAATTTTGTAAAAATTTAGATACTTGAACAGTTTGTCAAAGCGGCTATTTTTCTGTGGTAAATTCAACTGTTTCCGTGGTGTAGCGGTTATCACATCTGCCTAACACGCAGAAGGCCCCCGGTTCGATCCCGGGCGGAAACAGATGCAAAATCAATTTTTTTTTAATTTTTTTGATGTAAGCTTTACAAAATTGTTGAAATAATGAACTGACATCTTTGTTGATGTATTAGCTTTTCTTTAACAAATATTTAAATATAAATTTATGTGGATATTTTATTGTCTGTAGGCAATAGTTCCACTCGTATAGCCCACACCAGGGTACCCTAACAAAATGACTGTTTTTAAAATTCCTAAATAAAACTAAAGCCCAAATTAAACAAAACCATTATACCCTGATTTCCCATTGAAAATGGGTTCAGGGTATAAAAAGAAAAGAAAAACTTTTTCAATGTTATTAGTTTTTGTACATTCGCATGTTTTAGTCAATATTCAATCAATTTCAAATGTGTAATTATTATCTGTATTTACTGTACACCGAAATCAATAAAGCTTCCAATGAAGCTATCAAAGAAGATAACGGCTCAAGTGTGGCATATTGAGTTCCTCAAATAATAATAAATAATTAGAAATAAATAATATTAGAAGATTCCATAACGAAGCGAATACTTCAGTTAACTGTCTATAAAAATATAAATCCAAATTAATTTTAGCCAAGTATCAAATGGAATGTGTATAACTTATACAAATGTGAATATATATGTAAGTATATATAATAAATATTTAAATATGTAAATCCCACATTTTATTTAAACACATTGAAGCTTCTAACACAATGCCGCAACACAACCATAAGGCAATCACCTGCATTATTCTCTCTTAGTTTACCGTTGTACTTTATCAGTTGCAATTTATATTCAAAAATATAAACCAATTTGCGAAAATTGTCCCACCGTTCGCTTTGTGTATAGACAATGTTTACATTTGCTTTGCCGCTTAACTTGCTCAGCTGTTCATTGAACTGTTCCCACAGGTCCCACTGGCCGGGGTGTTGGTCTGCTCTGTGGTTCTTGCGGTCTCGGCCAATCAACAATTACAGCAAAAAATAATCTAAAGAGATAAACGTCCTTACATACATATATAAATAAATAAATATATACTTAAGTTCTTTATGACAATTGATAAAATGAACGTCATTTAAAGAATGGCGCTAAAAAATTATTCGTCTTTAATTTGTTGTCTGCTGTGGTAATTCAATTCGGACTCCGGCTCCGAATTGCGTCCGAGTCCCCGGACTCTGTGAAAGTTCAAAGTTCAATGCTTTGCTTTGTCAACGACTTCTTGGGCGAGAAAAGTTACACAACGCATTCAGAGCTGAACGCACTGGCGAATAAATAAATACTAGAGCAATGCGAGCAAAAGTCATAAAATAAACATACTCGTATTTAAAAGAGACATTTTGGACAACCGCTTGATAGGTTCATTTCAACCAATTGCTCAGTTTCTGACACCCTCGTCGCCTATCCCTTCCCCACCCCTTTCTTTCGTTGTCCCTCTAGAGATGTTTCCCTCTCGCTTTTTCTCTGTCTCTCTTACCAGCTGATCCAAGGTTCAATGCATTGTGTATGCATTGTATTTGTGTTATCCCTGACCTCCAGCTCCTTAAACAGTTTTTGTTTAATTTTGCAGTTTCTAAAATTTCGTTTTTCAGCTTCAATTACCTTAAGTGATTTTGAAATTAATGAAACAATAGCTGAGCACTTACAATTACCAATGTAAATTGACTTTGTTTGATCGAATTTCAGCTATTTAACAGGATGATTTTCGGGATTCACACTGAAAGTTTCCTTTGTTTAAACCAACTACTTAGGAATTGACCCCAGCAAAGGGTTCAAATTTCAGTTCTCACTTCCTTTGATGCTTTGTCTTTTTGCCTTGATTAGCAGCGCTCAACAATGCAAACTTTTAGATTGTATCTAGTAAAACATAATATTGTGACCTTCGAGGGGGAATTCAATCAGCTCATGATCAGAAATGCTGACTGACGTCTTTTGTATAAACTGTATCAACTAATACATTTTTAAACAAAATTATACATATTTTACGTAGAATTTGTGCTTCTCTATGAATGGGCAGCACGTATGCGCACATATTTATGTGTGTCCATACATCTGTGAGTGTGTGTATATACAAATTGTTCACTCAACGTGCCCATATTTCTATTATCAGCTTTTTGGCAGCTCCTCGCTGTGTTTAGCCGCAATAAAGAACAATAAAAAATCGGCCAATCATTTGGTCGCATTCCAAAATGCCTATAAAATAGCCCCAAGCCAAATGTGATTTGAATAATTGAAATAGTTTTGGAAATGTCTTTGACTTAAGTAGACTATTATGGCGGCGGCATCTCAGCTGTTTCCGTGGTGTAGCGGTTATCACATCTGCCTAACACGCAGAAGGCCCCCGGTTCGATCCCGGGCGGAAACAGATAACAAATTTTTTTCAAAACTTGATTTGAGGATTTTAATAGAAAATGCCCAGTCAACAAAATTAATTTAAATTAAAATAACGTGTTTTTGTTCAGCTATTATCTGAATTGAACCCCGTATATACAAGCAAGTTCGGTCAAAAACAAGTTTTCAAATAAATATGTATGTAAACATTTATATACATACGTACAAATCAGCCTTTGTCAGGCAAGTGGCTCACTTTGGTCAGAGCTTACTATCAAAAAGTTTTACTTTGAGCTCTAAATGAGCTAGTTATGCAGGTATGCATATTAGCGCACACACATATATTTTTGTACATATATGCAACGTTATCTTTAGCCATTGTTATTTGCGTGTGTTCTATTTTTACTTCTTTTGCTTTTCTTTCGTTTTCTGATTTTGTTTGGCTCGAACTTGTATGCTGTGACCGGCTCGTATGCTACTCAACTAACGCACATGTTGTCAACAATAAAAGCCATTTTTGGCTCCGAAGCCCTCAGCTGTTTCCGTGGTGTAGCGGTTATCACATCTGCCTAACACGCAGAAGGCCCCCGGTTCGATCCCGGGCGGAAACAGGGGACAACTTTTTTCTTATTTTTAATTATTTTTTTTTTAATTTTTACAAATTTTAATTTATAAATGCGTTTGGGATAACTTTTTATTTTAATTAAATTCAATACAACTAATAATAAATATTAAAATAAATTAAATCAATAGACGGTAGTGGAAATCTTTACTTATATATGCAATGTGAAACTATTAAACAAAATCATTTCATTTCTATTTTCATAGATTCTTTATATAGCACAACATTGCAGTGTTATGCGGGCAAGCCGATTCTTAATAACTTAACAAACAAGTCTTTGTCTAGACAATAGTGAATCCTGTGAGCCTTCTTTGAAAGAAAAAGTGTTCCGTGTCACTGGCGCTTTACCAGATGTGAGAAGCTATGCAAAATATGCCGAACAAAAGCAAGAATTGAAAACAGGAAACTACGCGACCCGCACATAAGGGTAACGAGTCCCTGCAGTAAGGCCCAGCCATTCACTCTCACTCTTTGTGAACTGAAATTTTTTCAACCTTCTTTATTTGATGGTTTGTTTTTGCCGTTAACCTTTATGGGCGTCTTTTTTGTAGCATTTTCGTTTTCTGCTTGGCGGGAAGTGGATTCGCAAAAGTGGAGACCAAATACGTAAAATGAAAATGAAAACGCAGAGGCAACGGCATTAAATCAGTTTGGTGCTAAAGCTATCTGGATAATTCCCACGACTATCTGTCTATCTATCTGTCTGCTCATTGATGGCGAACGCTGCGTATGAGCAATGCGAACAGTTTCAATGCAATACGAGTGCCTTGGTGTGTGTGTGTGTGTGTGAGTCCGTGTATGTGTGTGTGTGCGTGTATGTGTTGGTGTGCATTTCATTTTCAAGTGCATGCCAATTTGGGTGGCTTTTGTTAGCACTCTTTTACCTGTATTTATTTATCTTTCTATTATGCTCTAACAGCTAAGAGTTTTCGTTTGCATTTCTTTTTGCTTTTTTGCACACTTGAAGCACATTGATTGTTATTATTGTTATTGTTGATGTCGTTGTCGTCGTCGTCGTTGTTGTTGTTGTTGATGTTGTTGTTGCACGAAAAAGTCCTTGAACGCTCAACTGACCTGGCACATGCGATACACACAACAAAACACAACTGGCAAACACAAAAAAACAAAAACGTCTCCTTCTGCCAGCCTTGACTGAAGCACGCGAACGTGAATCAAACACCAAATTCTTAAATTGTCAAATGCAGCGAAACATTGATTGAGATTTCACATATCGAATGCCAAGTGTTCGTCAAATTATTATTCTTACTATGTTTACACTAACGAAAGCACTGCGCGCGTCTCTAAACTCGCATTTTGACTATCTGCTGCCTCCTGCGCAAGGACCCGCAGCCAACTGACAGCGCCAACTGAATTTCTGAATGCAGCTAGCGAAACATTTTCACTTTTCATGAGTTCAGATTCAAGATTATTTCTTCATAGAGCGTGTTTCTCCGCACGTGCATGTGTGTGGGTGGAAGTGTGTGCGTGTGTGTATTGGTTGCCTTGCAAAGCGAATTCAGAGACTGCCAACATTTGGTTTTTGCTTTCGGTATTGGTTACACTCCATGTGTGTGTGTGTGGGTGGAAGTGTGAGTGAGTGTGAGTGTGAGTGGGTGGCCATTGCACAAATGGGGTCTCAATCGGCTCTCAAAAGACGCGGTAGCTGTACGAGTCATGCGCAGTGAGGGAGCTTCCCTTCAGAATGGTTTGAGTCTGGGATAAAAGAGCTTTTGTGAAATTATGAAAAAACAATATGAAAACTATAAGAACATTACATTCAGGCGCTACAGACTGCACAATACTCATTCACGGTCGAAACTCTGCTCCAAGACATTTCTAGATATAGATTATTCCGATTTTTTTTTTAGTAAATCAATAAGGGAGGTAGATGTATTTAATATTTATAGTTGTGTTGTCAATGCAAGTATATACCAAATTTCTACTCTGGTATATCAAAAATGTAATAAATGGGCAGCAACACAGACATCGCTGAACCAATATACTCATTTCAATTGTTAAATGAGTACAACAGATCAACGTAGCTGGAGTAATTAAAAGATCATTGAAAATATCAAATGTGAATTGTGTGTGTGTATGCTATATTGCATAACAAGCATATGCGAAACGCGTATATTTAAACCAATTGGCATTACATTTAGATCTGAACGTATTTGGGATCGCGGCACTCATGCAACTTGGGGTCGTATAACAAGCCGGGTGTACAATCCAAGGTGATGCCCTGTCCCTCCACGCAGTAGTAGTATGAGTCTCGTCTCGAGTTGTGGGGATAGAAGTGAACGCCAGTGTCCGGGCAGATGATATCAGCGCGTCGAGGCGGCACGCGGGAATAGGGCTGAATATTGCGCTGCTGCACCGTTTCCTGTCAAGTCAATGAGGGATATCAGACTGCATTTCGAATTTGAGTGCATCAAAATGAGCTACTTACCTTGCATTCGACCTTGTTCGCATAATCACAGCAATTGCATTCGGGGTTGAAGGCTAAGCCATTGGCGCACTCCTGGGGCCAGGGCATGCCATTGGAGCAGATGAAGTACTTGTTGCACTGCGCCTTGCTGGGCAGATAGCGAATGTTCGAGACCGATATCTCTTGAGGACAATCGTTTGCCACACAGTCCACATATTCGGGGAAATCGCAGCGATCCGTCTCCGCATTGTACTGCAGTCCGTCGTAGCACTCCCTCAGTACCGGGATGCCGTAATAGCAGAGCACGTATTTGGTGCAGGTGCGATCGTAACAGAAGCTCGTAAGCTTGTATTCTTCACACTCGGGCAGGCACTTGGCCTCGGCAATATCACTGTAGGTGCATACCTGGTACTGTTGATCGAAAACGAGATGACAATCTGTGGCATTTCCTTTGCAGAGCTCTTCAAAGGGCTCTCCTTCATAACAGGTGCCGATATGGTCGACCTTGCCGTCTGGAAAGAGTTTCAACGAGTTAGAGTCCATTTCTGTACGCGCTAATTTCGTACTTACCAACGCAGGAGATGAAGCTGGAGCAGTTGCCTATGTAGGGCAGCAGGGACTGGTTAGCCATATTTGCGCACAGATTTATGTCGTTCACGACTAAGGTGGAGAAAGGACCATCGGGCTTGATGACATTTTCTTCTGGATCAGGTGCCACAATCTCCTCTGACTGTGGCGTCAGCTTCAAATTCACTCTTGCTCCCGAGCATTGGAACAAGCCAAATAATGCCAATCCATAAAGAAATTTCACTGTTAATAAGCAAAGGGAAAAGTCAATAGAAAAGTTGTTGAAAAGTAAGTCAAATACGCACTCTTTGATAGGAAGAGTTCCCGAAAAGAACTATGCTAAGCTCTCGGTTTAGTTTGCTTTTATAGCTGGGGAACTAACTTTTTTCGATATCTTTGACTCTTTCTAATGAGTTGTCGGAAAGCGACATTATCGCATTTAGGCACGCGCGCTAGGCTCTCAAAGGAAAACTACATTTTTAATTTGCCACCTGATACAGATAATTCATTTGCCGATTTATACTTGTCTAATATGTATATTGCCTCCGAAAACTTTTGATTAACTCTTTGGCAAAACAAATAATTTTTCCTTTAACAAACTTTGAGAACTCTATTAGTTACATAAGCTATATATATATATATTTTTTTTATTTCTTCATGATATATTTGATTTAATATAACAAGAACAAATTGTAATTGAAGTCAATATTCATTTATAGTACCATTGATCCCATAGGAGCTCTACAGGATTAGCTCCTCGAAGTATTCAAAAACCAGAAAAGTCTGTTCGGAAACTGTTTTCAAGCTTTCAAATTACAGCATGTGTGAAAATAGTTAGTAATTCAAAATAAATTCATTGTAGCTCAATATGAATATTTGCTGCCTTGACTAACGTTAAGGATGAATGCCTGAATGAATTTAAATGAATGTGACGGGGGAAATAGGAAATACAATATATTATATTCTTGTTTCTAGAGAAGTTACTTAATAAATACTGACTATTAGTGATGTATTTGAATTATATTAACAATTAGGGATAATATAATACAATGATAATATGATATTTCTATACTGATCTAGAATACTTATTCCAATCTTAAATCATTTAAGTATTCGATTCTTGTCATATACTTTTGACACAGATTTTAAAAAGTTTACTTTAAAATATGTTATTATTTCGATTATATAAATAACCCCGATCAATTTCTCCTACTCAAATTTTCCAGAGTACATCAGATTACATGCTGTAAATTTACTTTACATATGCTCGCCCTAAACGCTGTTGATAAGGCAGTTCTCTTACCAGCACTTGAATTGTGAATATGATATTTATAATTTAAGAGTTTCCTTCTAACTTTTTATTTTTTGCCGTCGCGTGTGATATGAGTTTTTTTATCTATCCAATTTGAATTCATACACCGAGTCTGTCGCTAAAAATTACCAATTTCGAACGTGTTTCCTTTCTGATAAGTGTCGCTTTCGCCGATGAGCAACAAAATAATCGTATGTATCTGAATTGATTGCCAAAAGTAGAAAACAAACATGAAAGGCCGATAAAAGGAAACCCAAACAAAATGGCTGCCTATAAAATGAAGTTTCCTTCGCGTCCGTGGCCACAGTTACAGTTAGAAACGAGACGAGATAATCAGACAAAAGTGAGTATAACATTACCTATGGTACATATTTATTGTAGTACTGTATATAATTTAACTGTAACTCTATTAATATTTATTTTTTTTATTAGTGATCAAATACAGTCAATTGCTGACGCTGATCTCATTGGCCACACTGCTAGGCGTTGGACTAGCTGATGTGAACATTTGTTCCAATGTGGTCGACAATCTGTTTCTGCCAAGTCTCGATAATTGTAGCAACTACTATCTGTGCGTCGGTAAGTTTGATGTAACTCCATACGTACATATATTTTATCTAATATTACAATTTGCCAACTGAAAACTGTGCTGTGAGGTGAATATTGCATTATTATTTGCATTCTCGTGGGCAACACACACTTTGGTGGATCTGGCAACACACCATAGTCTGCAATTTGCATTCACCTTTGTAGCTTTGGTGGATTTCAATACCCACCAAATTGCATATAAATAGCGGCATCTCTCTCTAACTCACACATATTCCCAGCTTAAGAGCACATTGTGACATTCATTACAAACACACAACATTCATGCCCATTCATAGGGTGTTCTTGCTCTAGCTCACATAAATTCCAAACCTGAATTAGAATTGTAAATTTCACTACTTACGCACTTAAATAGCTTAGCTTTTTACACTGACTGCTAATATATTTAACATTTATACCTTTGATAGGCGGCAAAGCTGTGCCTCGCAGCTGCAGCAGTGGCTACTTCTTCGATGCTCGCAAACAACAGTGTGTGGGCGTCTCAGAGGTGCGCTGCCTGCCCACATGCCCAGCGCAGGGATTGAGCTCCTTCTGCTACGATCGCACCTGCACCAAGTACGTTCTGTGCTTTGGCGGGGAGCCGGTGTTGCGTGAGTGCGCCGATGGACTGCAATACAATGCTGAGACGGATCGTTGCGATTTCCCCCAGTATGTGGACTGTGTGGATAATCTGTGCGTGCGCCAGAACAATGTGGACAACATTGTTTACATTGCCAGCAAGTCTAAGTGTGACAGGTACTATGTTTGCCTGGATGGTCTGCCAGTTAATCAGACCTGCGCCAGTGGTCTTCAATTCAATCCCGAATGCGACTGCTGTGATTTTCCCTCCCACGTCAATTGTACTGTAGGTCTTCTCTTTATCAGATATGGAACATTTCGATAATAGGATTTTAATTTCGTTTAGGTTGAGACCCTACAGCGTGACATTAAGCCATTTTCCAGGGCCCCACCACGTTCCGGGGGCATCACATGCCCCGACCAGGGCTCTCACTTCTTTGCCCACAAGACCCGCAAGGATGCCTATTACTACTGTTCTAACGGTAAATCCGTCACTCTGGACTGCACTCCGGGCCTGGTCTACGATGCCGAGCGGGAGGAATGCCGCGAGCCACAATTCGTGAAGGCCTAGAGGATGTCAGCAAAATAAATTTTAAAGTTCAACCAATTTGTTTGCATTTTGTTTATAGACGCTCATTGCAAATGCCTAGGCGCGACTCTCATTAGCTAATTTTAGCCGTTCGGGAAACGCTGATCTCTGCTGCAAGGCAGGCGACAAAAGAACTAAAAAGCGAATAGGCTAGAAATTAAATGGGATGTTGGGGAAACTGCTGAGGTAAATGCAAAGTTTGCTTTTAATATGAGATTTTAAGAATTTACTCCCCTACAAGTAGAACAGATAAGTATAACAGATGAGTGAATTAATTTTTCTGAACTCATACTCAATATTTGGAATATTTTGAATACCCTCTTCTCGATGAAAGTGTCAGAAAAAGGGTCACGGAAAACCGTTCGACTATCTAACGATATATCTAACTCTATATCCACTGGGGCATGATACTTTAAAAATTTGCAGTTAACTCATTCGACATTTGTTCGAGTTAATCTCTCATATCTCCATCAATTATAAGATGTAGCAAATCAGTAACTCTCCAAAATTTCGGATACTCCTTTGAGCAAATTGATATACATATATTTGCTGTATTCAAAATAAATCTTTTTTGTTTTTATTAATCGCCTTAAGACTTCAATATCTTTTCGGGCTCGCGGCATTCTTGAACATTTGCATCATACCACAAGCCGGGCGTACAGTCCAAGGTAACTCCATGGCCCTCCACGCAATAGTAATAGGCATCACGCCTCGACTTGTGGGCGTAGAAGTGAGCTCCATGACGTGGACAGATGACATCAGCACTTCGCAGAGGCATACGTGAAAAGGGTTGAATGTTGCGTTGCAATGCTGGAATCTAAAYACATAATTGACATAAAGATGACAGAGATTGCTTTGATTCTATACCACTAGAAACCCACCGTGCATGTCGACCGATTGGGATAATCACAGCAATTGCAGCTGGTACTGAAATACAATCCCTTTGCACAGGTGGACTTAACGGCCACGCCTCTTGCACACAGGAAATATTGAGAGCATGACGCCTTGCTGGGTAAGTACAACAGCTCCGTTGCATCACTCAATCTCATGCACTCGTTGTCCACACAGTCGACATGTTGGGGGAAATCGCAGCGATCCGTCTCCGCGTTGTATTGCAATCCGTCTTGGCATTCCCGCAGAACTGGAATGCCGTAATAGCAGAGCACGTATTTGGTGCAGGTGCGATCGTAGCAGAAGCTCGTTAGATTGTAGGATTCACATTTGGGCATACAGTTGGCTTTATCTGGAAAGCTGCAACTTTGGTTGCGAGCATTGAACTCATAGTTCTTATTGCACTGTTTTTCTATGGCCTCGCCATCTAATAGGAATATATAAYTTTTWRAATGAGAAAAGGCTTTCTATCCTACATTCTTCTCACCCCAGCAGAGATAATATTTTTTGCAGTCTCCCACATAGGGCAGAAAAACTCTATTGGCAACATTATTGCACAAGCTTATGTTGCCCGTATAAAGAGTGCTTCCATTCAATATTGTTGCGGTGTCATCCTCCTCAGGTTCTGGTGCCTCGAATTGCTGAGCCTCTATCAATACATATTGACATAGTGCTAAAAAACCAATAAATATCGCGAATTTCACTTCCGATGAAGAGAAATTATTAAACAGTGTCGTACATTTAAGGACATCCGGCTTACTTACTTCTATATTGCAGCACTTGTCGAAGTTAACTGTTGTCGTTAGTCGGCACCAACCGAATTTATATGTTTAATGTCTTCGAGCTCTGTCGACCTATTTCAATAACAGATACCATTGAGCCTTATCAATAGCTCCATGAGAGACCTGACTCTTATACTGAACAGAACATTTTAATTTGCAAGATAACAGCACGTCATGAACTGGCGACTAAGCTAAAGGCCGTTTTGAAGGAAAATCGTACATATTCTGCTCGTATACTAGATGCATGCTCATAAGATATAAGAAGAGTTCTTTGTAGAGATTTCGCTTCTGAAACTTTTGCCGCCTGGCAAGCGCCACGAACTTGAGTATATATAAAAATATATTTGGTTTGCCTACACATTATAGATGTGTTTATATGTGTGTACACACATGGGTGTATGTATATAAATTATCGTATAAAATATTTTCATTTTCGGCTCAGTCATTTAGTAGGAAAATTGGCATCTGAACGAGCGCATTGTTCAGGAAAAGAAAAGATATATAAAACATAGCATATATAGCTATTTGAACATAATTTTGAATTTCTAGTGCAGCGCCTGTACACATTCCGTTCTGTAAGTTTATATAATTGCTTTTGTTTTCCAAATGAGGGCCTACCGAAGACTGTCATGATGATTGACACAAATATTACCACAAAGTCGAAAATGTGTTATTTATAGCTTTGGGATCTCTAATTACTCATGTGTGTGTGTCTATGTGCATGTGTGTGTGAATATATTTGAAAAACACAATTATAACCGGCAGCTAAACAAAAAGATTTTTCTTTCAAGGAACGGTCCACATAATGGTCAATGAACTGAATAAGCCCCAAGATAATGCCGCACTGAGCGAGGTAAAAATTGAGTCAAATGAAACATGATCGTCGGTAATAATAGGTACTAATACATGCATAATAATACATTTCATTATGTTTTGTCATAGCTGTTGGCTGCTTCCAATCGTCAGTTGGAGGAGATGCAGGAGGAGCATCGCCAGCTGCAGGCGGAACTAACACGCTTAAGCGCCCAGCGCCAGCAATTGAGAATTGCCACCAGGGAGCAGGAATCAGTGAGCGTTGTAACCTCTGGCTCACAGTCCTCACAGTCCTCACTCGCTACTGCGGAAAGCGTAGCAACTGAAGAAAGAGACAATGCAACTACTGGGGAGGACAAAGAAGAAACGGCGAACTATCTGCAGGAAAAGCTGGCGGAAATTGCAAATTTGAAGGCGCAATTCAAGCGGGTTCAGCATATGACCGATTCGACAAAGCGCATTGAGGAACATATATCCAGCATGGAGTCCAAATCATCATCATCGTCGACGGTGCAAGAGAGTAGACAAACCATGTCATCACAATCTGTACAGTCCAGCAGCAGCACCAGCACCAAGAGTAGCACTAGCAAAAGCGCTTTATCATCTGGAACTGAATCATCCACATCTCAAACTGCTCCGGACAATGCGGAGCTCCTAAATGCAATGATCAATATGGTCACGGATTTCACAAGTGATTTGCGTGGGCAAGAGGAAAGTTTGCGTGCGGAACGTTTGCGAATTAAAGCACTGAAGGAGGAAATTATACAGCGCAAGCAGAGCAAATAGAATAATACTTATTGAATATAAATACAACTCACTTGCTGAATAGCCTATGTATACATATATGAAATAAAAATTGCTCAAATTAGATTTATTCTACTTACATTTTAAATTTATATTTAGTGTACTATTTTTGTCAATGGGAATAGATTTTTAAATTCATGTTAAATGATTTTTAACGCGCGCCTTGCATATTTCCTTGCATTTAAATTATCGATTTGTGCAGCTCACAATGTATTGCAATAATAATCGCTATTGCGGTCAGCTATCGATAATAAATAACACATCACTATCTGACAGGACGCAGCTGTTTGCTTGTAAAAAATATTCTGATTCGCCTTATGCTTGTGTAAATTGTATTAGTGAAAGCGATTTATATTGTGTAAATAATTCTGTTAGCAATCTATATATGAAAACTGTTCGGTCAACTTAGTTAAAAGTGAATAAAACGACTGATTGATACAGCAGCTGCCGCGTATCCAGTCAGTGTTAGTTTATTGATAACTGTGCAAGCTGTATATGTACATATATATTTTCTGATGGCGCCGACACCGCCCGTAAAGATAATAATGAAAAACGAATGTGATACAAATCGTAGCACCGGCGCAGTACCCAAACAAGTAACAACAACCACACAAGGCGCAACATTGCCGGCAAGTCTCAATAGAACGCCGTCTACGACGTCAACCAGATCGAGCAGCAGTCGTGCTCGCAATTCTTCCCTAATCAAGCAGCAGCAGGAACAGCAGCAGAGGGAGCGGGACGAGGACATTGCGGCGCGACTGCAACGCGGCACATGCAAAACTCTATACGTAAGTTTTCATTTAGAATATTTAAAGAAAATATGTATATCTAGAGTATATATTACTGAGTTAATCTACACAATTGCGGCAGCTAATTTTTTTTTATCATGGACAGCAACCGGAAAATTTTGCAGCCGGCTTGTTTATATTGTTGTATATACTGTTTTCATTCATGTTGCCATGACGCCCAATTCACGAGCTGATCCATTTGCGCGAGTGCTCTCTCTTCTTTAGCCACTTGGCGCTGCGCTCTTGCATTTAAAAATACTTTTCACACTCATTCTTCTCGACCAATTTGCTCGAAAAATCTCGGCGCTGTTTCAGTAATACAGACGACCTTCCCTGCGGCGCACACCGAAATTCACAGAAAGCAACAAAATTTCTGCTTTTCTGATACTAAGTCTATTGCTAATATTCATTTGTTGTTGCTTCAAGGATCTGCTGGAGCGTGCCACAACTGCGAAAACCCAATACAGCAGCCAGCAGCAAGAGCAACGCGAGGCGCTGCGTCAATTGGCCGCGGAACATAGTTACGATCCAACAGGTAAGTTTAAGCACATGAAAACCAAATACCGATATCTGTCTCTACCTCTCCGTTCGCACCTGGGTGGAGGTTTTTACTGTTCACATAAAATGTGCGCTAGTTCATATTCTAAATATAACGTTGCGCACGAAAATAAACGCCCACGGAGGGGGCCTTTCGCATCGATCGCACCGTGGGCAGCTGGCCAGTTTTGACTGCGTCATTGCATGAATTTCTCATATATGTATGTGTTCAATTTTGTGTGCCTTTCACAGATCAGCTACAGGAACAACATCAGCGTTATTGTTTCCCTGTGCGTCCAGTGCAGCGAGTGCAGCATCAGCAGCAGCCCCAGCCTCAACCACAGCCACAGCCACAGCCCGTAGCAGCAGCTGTGCTGCGTCTGCGTCAGCCAACGACACCCAATGCCACTGTAGGCGTTGTCACGCCCAACACGACTAACGGCAACGAGGACCAACAGCCCACAAGCACTAGCAGCACGAGTGCAATTGCCAGCAACTCCCAGGCGCCCACAGCTCTTCAAACTGTGATTCATCGTCTCTTTGGGGTCTCAGCGCAGAGCTCGACACGCTCGCAAATCGAAGTGTTGCGCACTTTGCTCGGCTTGGATGAGAACTGGAATAGCGGCAACGGACAACAACAGGCAGCAGGCAGTGTTATCGAGGTGAGCAGATAGAAATATATTGTTGAATCAATCTAATATTACATTACTACAGTATTTAAGCAATATGGTGCATGAAATCAATCCCAGTGCCAGCGACAAAGATGAGGGCGTTGTCAATTCGACTAGCCTGGAGGATGTTGCATTGAGTGAGGTATGTAATGATCAATGTATTTGCAAGAATTCAAAGTCATGGGTAAACTCTTATTAGATGAGCGACAATCGCGCCCAGTCCATACAGTCACTGCACAGCGTTCTGGAGACACCAACACCAGATACAACGCCCAGTTTTGATGAGCTACAACAGCGGCTAGATGCCTCCAATCGCAATATGCAACACTTGCAGGATGAGCAGCAGAAGCTGCTACAAATACAAAACATGGCCAAAACGCATCTCAACGAAATGGAGCAGCTGCGTCAACACAGCGCACGTCTTGCGCATAACGGCAACGGCGATGCGCCCAACTATGAATCCGTACAACAGGTGCAGGACGATATGGCCTCGCTTGTGGGGCGTATGAAGAATCTCACGGCTTTTATACACAATCAAAACGAGCTAAGCAGCGTGCTGGGCGACGATGGTCCAGAGATTTTGGCCGAGCAGCAGGCGCTGCAGGAGAAACTTGAATCATTGCGGGCGCAGCGAGAGGATATGCGCGAATTGGTCAATGAGCTAACCAGCATCAATCGAAAGGCCAAAGAGCGGGTGCAGGCGGTTCGTGCTTCCAGCCAGGAGACGAGCACTCCAAGAGAGCAGACACCCCCAAAGCAGCAGCAGCAGCAGCAGCAGCAGCAGCAGCAACAGCAGCAACAGCAGCAGCAGGCTAAACCCACCAATGAGCGCATTGTCCCTGTGGAATATCAACGCAATGTTCCCATTTTGCGACAGGAGGCAGTCAATGCCGCTCAGCGTGCTCAACACGCTCAGAATATGATTGATCAGAAGACGGCGGACATTGAGGCGCTGAAGGCACAAATGAATAGGCTGAAGAGCATGCTGAATACCGTTACTCAGATAGAAGCTGGCACATCAGACATCGGCGAGACCTTGGAGCGTCGCAGCGTTGAGCGACACGAAGAACGACCTCGGGACATTTCGCAGCGTGTGCAGGCATTAGACGGCGTTAGCTCCGAGTTGCGCGCTGAGGCAGCCACATTGCAGCAGGAGCGTGATCGCATTTCGGCACTAAAGGCTGAAATTGAGCGCCGCCAGAGGCAGGCAGCAGCTGCGGTACAGATGGGGGACGAGGCGCTGCAGCGTCACAGCCTGACTCCAACGCCCCTTCGACAGCGTCCACAAGACGATGAGCAGGAGGAGGATGAGGAGGAGGAGGAGAAGGAGGATGAAACCAAAAGGCGAATCCAGTTACAAACGCGCAATGAGTTGCGGGCACAATGCGAGAAATTGCGACAGGAATATGAGAAGAAGCAACGCGAGTATGAAGCCCATTTTATGAACAGCCATGGCAGCAACTGCCACAATGGCGGCAGCAACAACAACAACACCAACACCACTTCGGAGGCTGATGATGAGGGCAATGATGACACCGACAGCGATAGATATTTTACCCAACTGCGCGCTTCATCTTCGGCTACATTAAAACGAACTGCCTCGACAATAACCGTTGTGGAGAAACAGCAACAGCAGCARCTGCAGCAGATGCAACAGCAACAGCAACAGCTGCAACAACAACAGCAGCAACAACAACTACAACAGCAGCAGCAACAACAACATGAACAACAGCGACAAACACAACTCAAGCAACAACAAACTACGCCCAATGCTCACTCCATGTCAAACAATGAAGACGATCTGAATCTGACGATTGACAGCCTCTCCCTGGGCAATGATAGTATACCGTCGAGCAGCACTAGATCCCAGTATATGCCGCCGCCAATGGCACCCGTTCAAGGCATGTGGAGTAAGCGATCCGCCAGCAATTATTCACTAGTCACTTCTATTGAGCCACTCATTTATTTGCAGACACGCACAATACGACCAACACTTGGCATTCGCAGCCTGGCTATCTGCCAGCAACGCCAACAGGTGCTCCGGTTGCACCGGGGGTCGCTGCCTCCTCGCAGGCTTCGAGTGTCAACCAAACCCCCGACGCAGTGCTCTTGCAGCAGTTCATGCAGACGCAGCAGATGCTCATCAACTCGGTCTGCCAGTGCAATCAGACTTTGTGGCATCAGCAGCGTGAAATTGACAGTCTCAACAGTCAGATACATTCGGTGAGAGCAAAGCTAACTAATGTAACCTTAAATGGCCAGATTGTGCAGAGATTTTAATGACCTTTTGTATAACATACCATTGGTTTTGATTGTGGTTTAAACGTGATTTCTTTTTTCATTTGAACAGTTGCAGGAACGTTTGAATGCATCGTGCCAGGAGCACGCCTATAGTCTGCGCTCGGAGTCCGTTCCGCCTATCGCTGGCGGTCTGGCACCGAACAACCTGTGCCTGGGCGCCAGCGCTCGCGCCCAGTCGGAGCAACTATATAATTTCGGCTCCTCGCATCAGAGCGCCTTTAGCAACTATCAGCGCAGCAGTCATCGCAACAATATCTACAGCGGCAGCGATCCGCATCAGGCACAGACCTATTTGAACAATGCGGCGCCACCGCCACCACCGCCACCACCGCCGCCGCCGCCAACGCACTATAACAATGAGACGCCGCTGTCGCCGCTCTCGTATCGCGCCGCTCCGGCACCCATATTCATGAATCATCACAACAATACCATACACCAGAATAATGCCAACTTGCGCACCCAGAACCAGCATGCGAACAATTTGCATTCGCTGCCGGAGGATGCGGTGCCGCCACCCACTCTGAACAACCAGGTGCCACCGGGCAACCGGGCGAACAACTATTGGGACAACTTCCGAAGGTAAAGCGCCATACAATACACATATTTCATGTGGTGTCGCGTTCTTTCGTACGGATTAGGCAATTGTTTATTTACTTCTATCGATTGAGAACTAGGAACCAAAGAGCTGTTAAGTTATAATCCTTGCCAAAGTAATAAAAACAAATACATAGAACGAAGTGCCACGACAAAAAAGATATGAACAATTTTGATTTATTATTATTTTTAATCAAATTTCTCAAAACACTACGACATAAGTAAGTAGAAAGAAGGAAACATTTACGATTATACTTGAAATGCGTTTCAATTGAGTTCAACTAATTCTATTAACTTAAGTATTCATTTTTTTTTTCGAATAACAAAATTCTTTTTTGAATGCTAACGCCCATTAAATTGATCGAGTAAAAGCAATGCTATAACCCAAAAGTTGTTCAGAATTACATCTAGAGTAGCTCTAATTGGAATAGACTTGGTTATATTAATATTAATCTTTAGAATGTTATTCTACTTTGCACATTAAATACTTTTTGTTTGATTGCTCGCTTTTATTAACCCATTAATATCTGTGCGCTTTGCAGCTATACTCGCCAGAATCTGCTATCTAACAAAAGCAACGAGGAACTCAATGTGGAGCACCAATATCGCCAAATACAGCGCCAGCGCCAGCGTCCCAGCTATTTTCAGACCCATCTGCCGCACACTGCACGCAGCTCTACCAGCAGCATGATGCTACAGCAGCAGCAGCAGCCACAACAACAGCAACAGGCTCAGTCACATCGTCACTTTTATGAGGCCACGCCTCAGCAGCCACAGCAGCAGCAGCAGCCCCAGCCACAGCTACAGCAACAGCAGCAACAACATTTGCTCAACGGCAGCAGCAGCAACAATTTGAACAACAGCAGCAGCAGCAATCAAGACTGGCGCAATAATGCTCATGGAGAAGAGGATGATGTGGAGGAGGATGATAATAATGATTCCTCAATATTCGGCAGCAGCGGAGGCAGACGTCGCAATCGTCGGCGTCCAATGCCAACGCTGCGCGACGAGGAGACTTCCTTGCAGGAGTTAACGGCTGGCTCGTCCAATTTCTTCAACATGAATGTGAACAGTCCGCTGTACCAGCGCAACAAAGTGCCGGCTAAGCCGACCACGTCGGCGGTGTCTCTAACCCCGTTGCAGCAGCGCCATCTGCGCTTCGATTTCGAGCTGCCTGCTCAATACATGGACTATGAGCTACCAGAGCCGCCGGCGATGCAAGCTCCACCAGCTGCTCCCGTGTACAATGTCACAGCACAGGAGTCCGTCGTGCCGCCAGATGAATCCAATGCGCTGCTGGAACAAGGCACAGAGGAGACGGCTTCAGAGGAACTGAATCGCAATTTGCTAGTGAATGCATTGAAAAATGACAAATTTACCACAAAGTTCTACGAGTCGATCAAGGAGGATGTCTACAGACGACTAGAAACTCTCTTCGAGCAGCAGCAACAACAGCAGCAACAGTTGCAGCAGCAGCTAGGCGAACAGCAACTGTATAATGAAGTGCATAGCCTGCGCAAGACCCTCAACCAGGGTCAGGCGCCCAGTGCCCCGCCGGCAGAGAATGCCGTTGCAAATGAGTCAACAGAGGCCACGGAGAGTGGCACTGAATCGCCGCAGGCTCAATCTATCAGCGACCGGCCAGAGGATGACAATAGTCTACCATTGCAGGTAATGTCAACAGCTGCTGCAGCTGCGGCAGCAACTGGGTCTGCATCTGGAGCAGCAGCAGCAGCAGCAACAGAAGGCGCATCAGGAGCTGAATACTCAGAGGCAGCTGGCGTTGGTTCTGCACCGTTGGACAACGATGATGTAAGTAGCCAAAGCTCATGCACTGCCTCAGCTGCTCATAGCTCGTGCCTTTTTCATTAAAGCAAATCATTGAGGTGGTCATTGAACGACCCGCCACGCCTACATCGGCTAGTCTTGACATATCGCCGGATCACGAGCTTATTGAGTACATAATCAAACGCATACGTAACCAGACGCATAACAACACAATCATCAACGATTCACTGCTGGCTGAGGTCTCCAAGCTGACGGCAAATGCGGCCCAAAACTCGGCCGCCAGCTGGACACCAAATGCGGTCTCGCCGCTCATTTCGCCCAAGCGCTTTTATGCTAAGATTAAGAAGTTGGACATGCCAAGGCAGCGCGACGAGTTCTTGCTGTGGTATCGCACCTATCTGGAGCAGCTTTTTGTGGTAGAGCAGCAGTCAGCCGACACCGGCAGCATGTCGAGTACGAAAAGTAAGGAGCCGAAAGCTCCTTCTAAAAAGCAGGTCAATAAACGCGTGCGTGCTCAGTCGAACTCGCAGGATTCCAACAATGATGCCGACCTGGCCGAGGCAGATCAGAAAAAGGTTACGCTAAACGGGGGCGATACAGAGTGCGAGAACAATGAGAATCCGGAGGAGGAGGCCAGCGCAGCGGCAGCTCAAGAAACTCAGAATATCAGTTTAGATTAAATCGAGTAAAGTTAGTTAGCTATTAGATCACTAGAGGGGACCCACCCAGTCAACATTCCCGACCTATCCGCATACATATGCATACATATATGCAATTATATACTCATATACATATTCCATATTCCATATGACTTCACCCATATGAACTAACAAAATTAGTTACTAGCCGCAATGGGCGGCCCATTTTCGACTTTGTTTTTATTTTGTATTAAATTATAAATGTACACCTAGAACACAAACAAATTTGTTGAGAGCTTAGGCAACGTTTTAATTAGCTGCGGCTGCTGGACTGAATGGAATCCCACCGAATTTGTGGACCAGCCTTTGGGGTTTCTTTCATTTATTAATTGGCTTACAAATGTAACAAACTATTGGTTTCGAATGAGCTCCGGTGCTTAGCTATTTGTTTAGATCTGTTTGGCTCGTAAGCTGCTCCATCATGCGATAGTAGCAATAGCGACTGTCGTAGTCCATGTCGTACCAAAAGTTGATGGCGATGCATTTGTGACTCTGGCGCACATGATGGAACCAGTAGTTGGGTAAATAGAGCACATCTCCCGCATGAACACGTACTCGTAAGGGACGCGCCTTGCTATACTGGGGATATTTGGCCAAGTCCGGAGCTAATGGGTCAATGCTAACCCATTCTGTATGTAGAACTTCGTCGTTCTCAATCAAAGGATCTATGTAGAACTGCCCACAGGATTTTCGCTTGTACACGCCAGTGGGGTAGTTGCCACGAGGCACGCAGCAAAGCTGATGCGGAGGCAGCAATATGAAATCTTTGTACCCGGAAATTACGCAATAAAGATTCTCGTAGGGATCCTTGTGCATGGAGGTGATGGCCCGCTCGTCGCCCAACCAGAAGTTGACTGCATCCGGTTCCTTGTTGAAGCACTGCTGGGCAAAATCCAAGTCTTTCGGCACAATGTCACCAGCCAGCTCCGGCAAGTCAAGACTGAAATTGGAATTTTGCTTCTGAATGTAGTGCACAGCTCCCATTGGATCATCGAGACGCTCCAATAACTCAGATAGAGGCATTTGCGTTTCTAGCGGTAGCACGAAGTACTCTTCGCCATTTTGTATGGCCAGACCATCAGCATAGCCATTGGGTGTAACGGCTACATCCACAACTTTGTCATTCAGAGTAGTCTGCAAATAGTCCGGCGTCCACTTCTGCACTGCAGGCCAATGGGCAACCGCCTGACGTATGACAACAGGTGCGTTCTTTGCATAGTAGTCCCGCGTGAACTCTAAGGCAGTTGGCAGCTGTTGTAGTTCCGTTATTTGTCCACCAATACATAGCTCTTGGGCTTCCTGAAGCAGCAGTTTTATAGCTGTCTCAATTTGAGTTTGAGCCATGCCGATGGCATTCTGGTACAGATCGATAAGTGTTTGAGTTAATCGATGAAAAACAAAGTTGTGCACTGGATATCGATGTCTTAAAAAGCAAACTATGTTGAGTATACATTGCCGGTGCAGAGATAAACAGGAAGATCAATTAAAGCGAATTATGAAAACTAATATTGTCATTACCTATACAATTGCTAATATTGCTTAAGAAAAACCAAAGTAATCGAATGGTTAATGACTTCATGCTCAAAAGGTATCGATATATACTTGTGGTCTGGTAGTCGATACTGTATGTTCTGTATACAGCTGTTCTAAGTCAGACAGCCGAAAAAAAAACATGTTGCTTTTGTAAAATTAGGAAAAAGTGAAGAGTTCAATTAAAAACGTTGCCAAAATGCAAGAAGTTGGGGATGAAGTGTTCAACTGTATTGACGAGGCTAATGCCATCATAAACGATGTTAAAGCACACGTTGCCGAAATTGTAATATCTTCCAAATTGGTCAGCAGTGCCACGAAGATTTATCTGAACATTCGCACCATAGAGAGCGCCACCTGCTGCGTACAAGTGACTGGTCGAGGCTTCAAAATAGTCTCCTCGCAATACGACACCATCGATGAGGAGCCGGCGCTAGGCCCCGATGGGGAGCCAGAGGAGGAAGAGATCTTTGAAACACCCTACGCGCTATTGGATAAGATTAGTCCACGTTATGTGGAGTCGTTTGGCAACAAGCTCTGCCAGCAGCTGCGACAACTGCAGCAAATGCGCACTGAATTCCACGAAGAGGACGAGGAGGAGGATGAAGACGAGTAACCAACTTGGCCTCTTCGAAACAACAACTTTATACTGAGGCTGTACTCATTAAACACAAGATTTTAATGTTAGTTTATTTATGTATTTTATGTACTCGTAACCGTGCAAGTATTTCGGATCGTGCGACAACCCAAAATCGAACCACTTTAGACCTTTAAGCGCTTCAAGAATAAAGATTGTGATTGCAATTCCAAATCAGTCAATTTGCGAACCGTTGGCACCAATTGCTCAACATGATCCACATATCCAGTGCCCTTATTGAGATTCTTTTGGCCGTAGACCACCTTGCCATCGAAATCGTTAACGGGCACCTCCAGGGACTTGTCCACCTGCTGTATGGTTATGTTCAGGTGCTCCTCGACCTCGCCCAATAAATTGAGCTCATTGTACCAGATGCAACAGCCGCGCACATCAGTCAAATTGGTGTTGTTGCAATTACGTCCACGAGTCTTGCACCATTCGCCGTGGTACCAGACCTTCTCCGGCACCGTAGACACCAAGCTGATGGCCAGGCCCATGCGCTCTGCACGACCCACACGGCCGATGCGGTGCACATAGTTGCATTTGTCATCCGGCAGAGTTATATTGATCACTGTATGAATGATAAGCTATAGATTATATGTAAATATATATTAGGTAATCCTTACTGAAAGGCAATCCTGTAATGTCCAGTCCACGTGCAGCAACATCTGTGCAAATGAGAAACTTGACCTGCTGGCGCTTGAACGATTCCAGATTCTGCTTGCGCTCCTGCGGCTTGCGATCGCCATGCAGGCAGACGCAGGAGTAGCGTTGTCCGCCGCGGAGGCGCAGATACTGCTCCAAGTTATCGCAATCCAGCTTGGTGCGACAGAAGATAATGGCACGATCCATTTTATGCTGGTCAATGGCCCGGATGCAATATTCACCCTTCAGCAGCTTCACTGCCTGGGAAAGGGTCTCTGGGGAAAGATTAGTGGGATGGATATTGTCGTGATCGTGCACACCATCAGTGCGTATCGACTGGCGAAGTTGCTGCCAGCTGGTGTCAATCTTCGGGTCGACCATGCACACTACATGGTGAACAGTCTCTGGCACTGCATCTTCGCCCTTCAGATCCACCCAGGTGGGAAAGTGCATCAAGCGCTCAGCCATCTTTTTTACCTCAAAGGCATGCAAGGTGGCGGAGCAGACAATCATCTGCAGGCGACAGCCATCGCTAGTTATTTTTGGTATTTGCTTGTGCAGCCGATCAATTAGATCCGTATAGCCCTGCTTAAGCAGAGCATCCGCCTCGTCCAGGACAAAGAAACGACAGTGAGTGAGCTGTACGAGTCCACTGTTGATGAGTTCCTCCAGGCGACCGGGAGTACCCACCACAATGTGGATTCCCTTCTGCAGTTCCGCTTTCTGCTCCTCCAGACGCACGCCCCCAATAAGCAGTAGGGGACGCACGTCGGGATCGGTCACATAACGTTTCAGTTTCTCAATTTGATTGTAAGTTTGCTCCGCCAGCTCGCGGCTCGGCTCAATGATTATGGCTTGGGGCGCATTGGGCGCCGGTTTGCTAGCCGCAGTGTTGGCTGCGGGGCTGGCCAAAGGATTGGGTGCGCTATGGTCAGGACCTGCTTGACAAACAGCCACATAGCCGTTGCCTGGCGGGTACTTAAAATCGGTTTTGCCAAAGTTAAATAGCATCTCGGCGTTCTTCAGGACGACAGCTGGATAGAAGGTGTCATTGCGTAGATTTTCGGGTATTTTGAAAGCCACTCCCAATGCAGCGCCGTTCTTGGTGAAGCTCACTTCCAGTCGCTGCAGGTCCAGCATACAGCCCACTACATCTGCYTTGCCGAAAGCCTCGCCATAGTCGTCAAACTGACGATTGTTGGACTTTTTGCCMGTGCCGCCAAAGCCAAAGCCGTAGCGACACGTGCCCAGATCTAAATTCGCCATTTGAGTGGACCACCCCACACGGCACAAGCCCTCATCGGTGACTGTTGCTTCGTAATAGAACTTGGCTTTACCATAGACCCCGGTGGTGGCACGACATCCGTGCCATTCCTTAAACTCACGTGACTGGCAGCGCAGGCCATCCGGAGTCACCGCTAATGCATTGTTACGATCGAAAAACGACATTGTCCACGGTGCCACAGCTCCAGCTGCGGAACCGCCTTTTTTACTTGGCTTTCCAGACTGCAAATCGCGAATCGTTTCCCAAACAATTTGCAGAATGGGCAAGCAAAAGGCGCCCGTTTTGCCAGAGCCCGTTTCGGCTGCCATTAGGACATCGCCTCCGCCGAGTATGAGTGGTATGGCCTCTGCCTGCACATCCGTTGGCAAGCTAATAAAGGAGCACTTGCAGGAATATTAAATTGAATTTTATATTATTTATACTTACGTCCAGTCCAATTCGTCGGTTGCCTTGCCGAGCTCTGGCAGCACACCAAACTCTGCAAGGGAATTTATTTCGATATTTGAATACGTATTAAGTACATTTTATGGGTGTTTTACCTTCAAATGCCGTCATTGCTTTTATTCACTTAGAAATAGGTTATTTTTATTCAATTCCGTTTGCACTTCATACACCGGCTGCAATATTTGCCTCAAGTACTCAATTGTTGTTCACCATGTACTCATTGGAGCAGGATACGCTAATGCTTGACAACAATAGCAAGGCAAGCTTTAATGGCTATTTGTCTTCAAGCAAAGTGAAATAATAGCAGCAAAAACTTTGCAAGTATCGGTAGTTTGATTAATTTAAAATACATAAATACATATATATTTTTTTTTCTAGTTTGCTAATAGGATTTTGCTCCAGAAAAATCTAGTATATTTGCATTTGGAGATGCAGCATACTAGCCTTAATAGCTGCCAGCCTTCCAGATGTTCACAAAGACGAATTCGGAGTGTTGCAAAGCGAGTTAAATCACAGCTGTTGAACTGATGTCGTTATGCATCACTTATATTTGTATACGCGTAAATTGTAGTGATTTTTTTATTAAATTATGGCAAGTGTTTTGTTAAAGTGCTAATTAGTCATTAGAGATGTAAATTTTGGCGTGTAGCTTATTATTACCTAAAGTGTAAGTGCTCAATAACCTCAAATCGATTGATAATTGTGCTAGAAAATGCCTTTTCAGCAATTTGCTCGCTGGAGAGAGAATGTACTTTCCATTGGGCTGGCCAAAGCGCGTCTGCCTGGCGCTCCCTGGCGAAACCACTCACATAAATCACATTAGTTGTGATGGTGTTAAAATACTCGTCGCGGCCGTCGGCTCGGATTTTCTGGGCATTTGGTATGCGAACCCGCTTCTGCCCATTGCCTATTATCGGCGCACCGTGGAATCTCTGCAGGAGTTTGGCAACAATCAATTGATTATATGGAAGCCCGACTCCAGGCAGCTGGCCGTGCTAACGGATGCTGGTGCCCTGTTGTTGTATCAACTGGACTTCGATGCCAACGGCAGTGGAATATTGATGCAGGTGGACCCGCCTGCAGTGAGTCTGAAAAGAGATTCAGCCGAGCTGTTCATCAAGGAAAATATTCCCCGCCTGAGTCTCCGCGAAGTGCGCTGCTTGAAGCTGGACGTTGTCATCTCCACTGTCTGCTGCATCAGCCTCAGTGAGCTGCTCCTGGCTACGGAAACATGTGAACTGCTGCGATTGCAGTGGTCACAGCTCGAAACGGTTTCCGAGGACCTGAAGCCGCTGGCTGTTATCAAACTGCGTGACATTCCCTTCTACGTGCAGCAACAGCARCAGCAGCCCGTCAAATATTTGCCCGCCATGGGCAACTCGGCCTTTGTGGCCAGCCTGGAGTATTCTCCCTTCATTGGCGGATGCGCTGCTGTCTTCAGCGATCAGCGGGCAGCGTTCCTCATAGCTGATCATCTGCGTTTCGAAACGGTGCACATGCACGGCTGTTGGGTGCCGGATGTGATGGATGCGAGCGTCTGCAGCGTCAATCACAAGTTCCGACTGCTCGCTTACGGCCAGCAGAGCTCGGCGGTGGCTGTGTATGCAATAGACGACGCCACAGCAGGCCTGGAATATTCGCACAGGCTTGTCTTGACGGAGAATGTGCCGCCTGGCAGCTTGGGTGCTGTCAACGAGCTCAAGTGGAGTCCCGATGGTTGTGTGCTCGCCGTGAGCTGGGAAAATGGTGGACTGTCGCTGTGGAGCACCTTTGGAGCGTTGCTGATGTCCACCCTAAGTTGGGATTTTGGGCTGCATGTGGATTTGGTTARGCAGAATCCCCTGCAGCTGCGCCGTCTCGAATGGTCCACCGAGGGCTATCAATTATTTATGACCACACGTGATGAGAAGAACAATGTCCTGCAGCTGCAGTTCGTGAAGAGCGCTTTGAGCATGAATCCCTGCATGACTGCACACCCACACATCCTGCTGCAGGGCGACGATTGCTTGTACATAAATCAGGGCGATAATCTGGAGCTGACTTACGGCAATGCCAAATGCACATTCCCCAGCAGCACCGCCACTGGCCAAAACGACGATTGCCTGGAGCTAAAGCAAAGCCCCAACATGGGCAGCATTCTCACCGAGAGCAAATACTGGACCCTGCTGCAGCTGCCGCTCAATTACGCAGCCACCAATTGGCCCATTCGCTATGCAGCCATTGATGCTGCCGGCTTGCATCTGGCCGTGGCAGGACGCACCGGCCTGGCCCACTACTCGATGCTCAACAAGAAGTGGAAGCTGTTCGGCAACGAGTCGCAGGAGAAGGATTTCGTAGTGTCCGGCGGATTGCTCTGGTGGCAGGGCTTCATTGTCATGGGCTGCTATTCTCTGCTTGATCGCACCGAGGAGCTGCGCTGCTACCCAGCCGATTGTAAGCTGGATAATCAGTTTGGACATAAGCTACAGGTGCGCGCTCCTGTCATCAGCTTGAATGCCTTCAGAGATCAGCTGATTGTGCTCACAGCGGATGGCATCGTCAGCCTGTTCCACATGCACAGGCAGTCGGCGTACATCATCAACATCGATTGCGCCTATGAGCTGGACGTGAAGAGCATTTGCATACATCCGGCTTGCATTGTGAGTCTCACGGTTACGAATCTGCGGAATGAGCTGAAGCCTCAGCATCAGCAGGCGGAGGCAGAGACGATTGTGGTCAATGTCTGTGGACGCGTGCTGATGATCCAGAGGGACGAGGCGACACAGCAGGTGCCCAATACGCTGCTGGCCACCTGCTTGGCCAGCTGCGTGGAATGCTTCTGGCTCTCCCACAACTTGGAGCACTGCGCCATGCGGGACTGCCTCTGGCTCTATTCCGGAGCGCATGGCATGCGCGTCTGGCTGCCCATACTGCAGCAGCGTTCGGAGCAGAACGGGGCACAGCGGCTGCACAGCTTCATGTCCAAGCGCATCATGCTCAGCTTCCCTCTGAAGCTTTATCCCCTCGTCATACTATTCGACAACGTCATTGTGCTGGGCGTGGAGAACGAGAGCACGCTGTACACGAATGAGCCGAACTCGCACTTCGCTCTGCCCTTTGCTCTGATGGAGCGCAAGTCGCAGGTCTATTTGCACAAGGTGCTTAGGCAGTTGATCAAACGCAATCTGGGCTACTCGGCCTGGGAGATTGCGCAATCTTGTCGCAGTTTGCCTTACTTTCCGCATGCCTTGGAGCTGCTGCTGCACGAGGTGCTGGAGGAGGAGGCCAGCAGCAAGCAGCCCATACCCGATGCACAGTTRCCCAGCATCCTKGACTTCATTCGCGAGTTTCCCGTGTRTCTACAGACGATCGTGCAGTGCGCGCGCAAAACCGAAATCGCACTTTGGCCGTATTTGTTCAGCATGGCGGGCAAGCCGAAGGAGCTGTTCCACCTCTGCCTGCAGGCGGAGCAGCTCGAAACGGCGGCCAGCTATCTGATCATCATACAGAATCTGGAGCCCTCCTCTGTGAGCAAGCAGCACGCGAACATGCTGCTGGACATCGCATTGAATCAGCGCAAGTGGGAGCTGGCCAAGGATCTGATACGCTTCCTCAAAGCCATAGATCCCAATGAGATTGATTCGCCGCGCTGCTCGATGGTGCTGAATGTCAAAATCGCACCGCCTCAGCCCCAGACGCAGGCGCAAGTGAATCCCAATGCGGACGCCTTCAACCTGGTGCTGGGGCCCATAGCCACGCGGGAGCGCAGCTACTCGACCACCGTCACCAGCAACTTGCCCAAGGACAACAAGCAGCAGAGCGTGGCTGCATCTGTGGAGCGCAGCGAGGCGCCTAGCGCTGGCAGCAACGCTGGCCCCGCGACTGTCGTGCGCCGTCGCTCCACCAAGGAGCGGCAGCAGCGTGAGATCTTCTGCATCGATTTGATATTGCAGCGGCATGCACGACAGCTGCTGCAGCAACACAAGCTGCTGGACCTGGGCTACATGTGYGCCTATCTGGAYTTCCATGTGGTCAGCTGGCTAACGCAGGAGTCGACAGGAGCAGCGCGGCTGGACAATATAGCGGCGGCGCTGCAAGCTTTGCACGCGGAGCTGCGGCTACCCAGTCCGTTTGCAGGAGCTGGGCGCGATGACTTTGCTCAGCTACGAGGCACGCTGCCTCGTGCGGGAGCAGCTGGAGGATCGTCATCGCAGACCTCGGAGTCGGGCTACTTTAGTCTGGCCGCGCACCTGGAATCGCCGCAACTGCAGCCTTGCATCAAGGAGGAGGAGGAGCTGCAGCAGAGCTCGCTGCCAATCCTGAAGAATCGGTCGAATTCGCAGTTGTCCTTCGATAACTTCCGCTATCGCCGGCTCTACTCGTTGCCCGCCTCGGAGGACGACAACAGCGAAATTGTGGCCAGCTATCTGAACGATAAGCTAGCGATCAAGCTGCGCTACCTGCTRCAGCTCTTCATCGAGGCCAACTGCACGGACTATGCCCTCATGCTCTCCATACTGCTGCAGGATGCGGCCTCCATTTCGCGCATTGTCAACGTGGTCATCCGCAGCGAGTCCGTGGGCGCCTGTAGGCGCATAGAGGCGGCCCTCAAGCAGCTCAGCCAGTGCATCTTCGACAACGGGAGTTCCATGTATCGCGGCTTTGTGATGACCCTGCAGCCGCACATTTACCTGTTGGAGCAGTACATACAGTCGCTGGGCGAGACGCCGACGATGCACGACAGCATAGACGACAGCAATGAGCTGAGCGCCGATGGGGCGTCCGGCTTGGAGAACGATGCTTTGGATGGAAGCAACAACAATTTTGTGCCAAAATGTCAGCAGCTGCCCAATGGCATTCAGCGAGCGTCAGAGCAGCGGCTGACGCGTCACGCCAGTCTCGAATCCAAGKCGAAAGCCAATGGCAGCCAGACGAATCCTTCCTCCACGCAATCCACTCCCACTCAGCAGCTGCAGCGCCGCGGCAGTCGAGAAGCTCCCCGGGACGGCTGCGGGGTCATGTAAGGGCTACGTGCATTCGTGCAAGAAATTGGAAATAGCATACTCAGTGCATGTACGTAATATACACGATTTTGTCATTTATGTTTATTTTTTCGTTCTGCTGTATATTGCATATATGTACATATGCATACATATATGTATGCGTACATACATATGTGGTAATTGTTGAAAGATTTGTTAACTGTTAACCCAACTCAATGGAACACACAACGAAGCGAACATCGTTGAGAGCAAATGGAAAACTTGTATTGTACTGTAAGAGATACGTAAATGTAATTATTCATTAAATTAATAGATGAAATTTGCTGCAATATTTGTTAATTAAAAATTTACACGATTCTATACATAAATATACAGGATAAATATATTTTTACCAATAAGTTTGCCAAATGCATTTTATTCCTGAAGAGAAATTAGTCCAGCAGTTGCACTGCTTGCCAAACGAAAGGCTAAAAATGAACTGCTTGCTGCTCGTATTTGAATGTCGTAATGAGGTACGTATTAAATAGTCGCTTCTATACGTATGCCGCTAGAGCAGCCTAAAGGAGAGATTAAGGTAAATCGTTCTTATCCGATCTCTTATATATTAGTGCAACATCCTGTATTCTTGCAACATCTTATGCAGTCCTGATTTCACTATTTTATTAAATATAAGTTTAAAATATGCATAAAGAAATTATTTCTACGAAAACAAAGTTTTCCAAGTAACAAAATTGATACATATCATACATACATATATAAAAGTTATCAAAATAAATTGATTATTATAT